GAACTAGAGGAAAGTTGTATGTTTCATTGTTGCTACACTGCGCCCTGACTGGCTCATCTCCCCCCTGAGGTGTGTGTATGTATGTTTATTTTTAAAGATAACAAAACTAAAAAAATAATTTTAGTAGTCTAAAATAACTAAAAGATAATTTTAGTAGTCTCTAACCTAGTTTGAATGGGCCTTGGTGGCGTAGTGAGTTACCCATTGGGCTGCTAACCTCAAAGTCATCAGTTCAAAACCAACAGGGGTGTTGTGAAAAAAAGATGAAGCTTTCTACTCTTAAAAGAGTTTGTCTCAGAAGCCCACAAGATTGCTATGAGTTGTAATCAACTTTATGACAGTGAATTGGAACCTAGTTTGAAAGGAGTCCTGATTGACACAGTGGGTTAAGTGTTGGGCTGCTAACCACAAGTTTGGTGGTTCAAACCCACTAGCCATGGGAAAAAGATGAGAAAGTCCGTTCTTTAAAGATTTACAGTCTTGAAAACCCTATGGAGCAGTTCTGCTTAGTCCTGTAGGATTTTTATGAATTGGAATTGACATGATGCAGTGGCTAAGTTAGTGTAAATTTTCCTTTTTGAGAGTTAGGGAGAAAACATCTATTATTGAGTCCCACTTCTCAATAGAGAAAAATTCTGACTTTGTAGTGATGAAGTTTGAGGTTTAAAAAATGTTTCTTATATATTTTTGTTATCTTTAAAAATAAATATACATACACATAATAAATTATTATTTTAAGCTTATAGAAATGTTTTACTAATACAGAGTAATTCTGAGCTGAAGTCATCAAGAAAATGCCTATGCTTATATTATATCCAGCAATAGTGACAGTTATAAGAATTAAAATTCTAGATTGGGTGATTAGAATACCATAGTTTTCTATGGGACTGTCATAGTAGATTATTAAAACGTGTTGTGTTTTTAACTATTAAAAACGAATCAATTCTAGATGAATTCGGATATATACTTACTCCTTACTTAATTACTTTAATTATCTGACATTTTGCATTTATTACAACACTAAAAAGTCTATCCAGTGTTATTTTACATTAATGATGTATGTCTGGCAGTCATGAACAATGAAAGGCAAGGCAAGATAATGCTAGCTGTCATGGTTAAGGTTATGGGTCACCTGGGTCATGATTCTCAGTGGGTTGGCAGTTAGGTATTGATGTAATAGCAATGTAGTCATTTTCTATTTTGTGATTTGATGTGGTCATTGTACATTTTTATATAATACCAATGTTTGCTTAATGACTTGGTCTTGGAAACTATGTTTATAAATGAAGTGGATGATTTTCTGGTACCTATTCAAATTTTCTCTGCTTTCAGCTGAAAGCAGAGAATACCAGAAAGATGTTTTATTGATTTTGCAAAGGCATCCAACTGTCTGGATCATAACAAGTTATGGATAAGATTGAGAAGAATGGGAATTCCAGAATACTTCATTGTGCTCATGTGGAACCTATATATGGACGAAGAGGCAGTCATTTAAACAGGACAAGGGAATACTGCCTGGTTTAAAATAAGTAAAGGTGTATTTCAGGGTTGTAGCCTTTCTCCACACTTATTTAACTTGTTTTCTGAGCAAATAAGCTAAGAAACTGGACTACATGAATTGGAATAAGGCTTCCGAATTGGAGGAAGGCTTATTAACAACCTTCAATATGCAGCTGACAGTCTTGCTTGCTGGAAATGAGGATGACGGAGAGGTACTTGCTGATGAAGATCAAGGCCTGCAGTGTTCAGAATGGATCACAAATCAATGTAAAGGAAACCAAGTTTCTTACACCTGGGCAGTAGATAAAAACCACATGATAAACAGAAAAGATTGGAGTTCTCAGGAATTTCGTTTTGTTTGGGGACCCATAATCAATGCTTATGGAAGTAGCAGTCAAGAAACCAAACGACATACTGGGTTGGATAAATCTGCATAAGACCACTTTAAAGTGTTAAAGATAACAAATGCCCCCTTGAGGACTGAGTGCACCTGACCCAATCCATGGTATTTCCAGGTGCCTCCTATGCTCGTGAAAGCTGAGCAATGAATAAGGACGCCTGAAGAAGAATTGAGGCACTGAATTATGGTGTTGGTGAAGGAAAGTACCGTGGACGGCCAGAAGAAGTACAGCTAGAATACTCTTTAGAATGGAAGATGGCAAGGCCAGCCTCATTTACTTTGAATATGTTATCAGGAGAGACAGTCTCTGGAAAAGGACATCGTGCTTGATAAAGTAGAAGGGCAGTGAAAAGGAGGAAGACCTTTGACAAAGTGGCTGTAACAATGGGCTCAAACATAACAACTGTGAGGATGGTTCAGGACCAGGCAGCGCCTCGTTCTCTTGTACATAGGGTTTCTATGAGGCAGTCGGAACATAACAACAGCATTCAAATTTTAAGTGTAAAGTTTGTATTTGTGAGAAAAATTTTTTTTCACTTCAATTTTCTTATTAGAAATGGCAGTAGTATTAAATTTCTATTTGAATTTGAAGTGGAATGAATACTATAGATTCCACTTCAGAGTTATTTAATACATAGGCTAATAGTTAGATGGGATGTTTGATACTATGACACCAGTAAATTGTTTAATGTTATGGTTTTATTGAATTAGGCATTAGAAAATTATAATCAGAGTTCTGCTGGTAAATTGTATAGGACAGCGATTCTCAACCTGTGGGTTGAGACCCCTTTGGGGGTTGAACGACCCTTTTACAGGGGTCACGCGATTCATAACAGTAGCCAAATTACAGTTATGAAAGAGCAATGAAAATAATTTTATGGTTGGGGAGGTCACCACAACTTGAGGAACTGTATTAAAGGGTTGCGGCATTAGGAAGGTTGAGAACCACTGGTATAGGAGGTACATGGTGGTATAAGTGAAATGCCGTCTAAGAACTTGGAGATGGAAGGTATTAGGGTTATTTTGCTGAGAGTTATATTAGTGAACATTATTTGACAGTAAGAATTATCTGAAGATGTGCATACTAAAATAAGCAGTGTACTCTAGGAGATTCTCAGAAGAAAAATGTAACTGTAATTAGATTTCAGTGTATGGATATCTCATTAATTTAACTATATTCTCTTTTGGGCAAAGTCTATCAACAGAGAGCACAGACCCTGTCATCAGAAGATAGCAAAGGGAAACTCAGAGCATGAGTAAATGGGTGACTGGCCTGTTGGGGGATAGATTTATCCCTTGTCAATTAGCTGAGACTGGTGTATCCTTGTGTCTGTTGATCATGGCTGAGAACCAGACCTTGGATTGTGAGCACACCAACATAAAAGCCATTTGATGAAGCTTGTTTGCAGCTAGTCCACTAGATTGATGGCCTTTTGCATTGTTCTGAGCGTTAACATTTAAAACTGCAACACTTAGGCCATTTAACTTGTGTGATTCCCATCTATAAAATTAGGATGTTGGTCTAATGGTGTCCAGAATCTTGCCCAATTCTCTTAAGTAAATGTGAATTCATAGCTTTCGTTCTCAATTGTACCAGCCACAAACTTAAGAGGTTAGAGTTAGAAAGGATTTTTGAGTGTTGAAATCATTGATATTTAGGCCGATAATACCAATATGACTTCCAATTGCCTATTTTAACTAGCCTTGTTTTATCTTGTTCCAGAACACAGGGCCATGCCTTAGATGTTCCAGTTAACTATAAGAACAGTCAGTGTCTTTTCTGTATATTGACTAGGACAGTACCTATCACATAGAGAAGCCAAAAAGTACGTATTCAATCAGTGCATTAAGATAATGTGTAGGTAAATATGGAGTGGTTATTAACGCTTAAAACATACTCTTTATTTTGGGAAGATTTAAATATACACGAGTAGTCAGAAAGCCCTGGTGGTGTAACAGGTTATGCATTGAACTGAACCGCTAGGTCAGCCGTTTGAAACCTCCAACTGCTCCAAGGGAGAAAGGGGAGACCTCCTGCTCGTGTAGATATTTGCGATCTTGGAAACCCACAGAGGGAGTTCTACCTAGTCTTGTGGGGTCACAGTGAGTTGGAATTGACCCAATGCCAAAAGTGACTGGATTGAGAATATGAAGGGGCTTCAGAAAGTTTGTGGAAAAACATCCATTATCTTTTAATTCCATCTTCCATGAACTTTTGAAGCCCCCTCATAATAAAATGAGCTCCTACGTACTCATTGACTATTGTTGTTTTATCTTTACCTTCCGCTTTACCTCTTCTGGTATTATTTTGAAACAGTAAGACTCTGTATCATTTCATTTGTAGCAATTTTGATAACACATCTTTAAAAGATAATGCTTAAAAAAATCATAGCCATTCTTTTATCTTTATATTAAAGAATGACTTGGTTTTGATATATATTAAATTAATTTTATTCAAGTGCTCCTGTACTAAAAATTCCCAAGGAACCAGTTAGATATAATTTCTAGGGAATCGAACCTAGAAACAAAACAATTGGACTAACATTTTTTTTTTTAAAATTTTTCCTAACATTTTTTGTTTTTATTTAACATTTAGGTTATCAACATGACGGCTGAAGAAACAGTGAATGTAAAAGAAGTTGAAATAATTAAGTTAATTTTGGACTTCCTGAATTCAAAGAAGCTTCACATTAGTATGTTGGCCCTTGAGAAGGAAAGTGGAGTCATAAACGGCCTATTTTCAGATGATATGCTTTTTTTGAGGTATGATTCCATTAATATGATGAGGTTTGTAGCTCCCTCAAAGAAGTTAATAAGGTAACACGTAGAGGTAGAATTTTATAATCATGAAAATGTACAATTTAAAAATTATTTTTTAAATCACCTGTAGATGAATGATTTCAGTGGTAAGAGTCTGATTTATTTCACTTAGCATAATTCAGCCATTGCCAAAGGACAAATACTGTGTGATCCCACTTATATGAAATAGCAAATGCACAGAGACCCAAATATATTAGTGGTTTCCAGGGATGAGAGGGAGGGGGAAAGGAAGAGTCTGCTCAGGAGTTTCTGTTAATGGTAGTGGAATAATTTGAAAATGAATAAAGGCGATGACCGTTGTACAAAATAATGAATACTGAATTCTACAGATAAAAATGAAGAATGAGCACGTGTTTTGTTGTCTACATATTCACCACAATAAAGTAACAATAACAAAAAAAGAAAATGAGAGGTTAGACCCAGTAGAATGGGAAAGACCACTAAAGTCCCACTAAAAAGCCATGGCCCTTGATGTTTCCTCACTTGTAAAAGGAGTGATCTTTATGGTTTGCTATTGTTCTGAAATGTCTTTTATTAAGGTGAATTTTATTTGCCTTTCATTAAGATGAGTGGGCAAATTTGGTCTTTTCAGCTACCTGAAGTGAAATAAGTAATCGTTGCTTAATAGTAAAACAACAACAACAAGCAGACCTGACACTCACAGCTGCATTGTGACTGTGGCTCCAAGAAAGATCAGAAAAGCGTCAGACTCTTGTAAGACAAGGGAAATATTTCTGAAACCCTTTGGTTTAGCCATAGAAATGAAGCACACTCGTAGAAAAATACTCAGAACACTTAAAAATAAGTGATAGGAAATGCAGACAAGAAAAACCACCTCACTACTCAGGCACACTGTTATTTCTTTTTCTGTGGACCTGCAGAAAATAATAGAAATTCTTATGAATATATAATGTAGTATCCTATTTTATTAACATCAAAGAGATTTTCAATGTGATTACAAATTTATAAATATTTAAAAATTTCACTTAATTTCTTCAAGGCTCATCTATTTTTAGGTAATTAAATTATTTCATTGTTTCTTAAATATATATAATGCACTGTGGAACATCTTGAGCATGTTTTTAAAGATCATTTTATTGGGGGCTCGTACAGCTCTTACAACATTCCATACATCAATTGTATCAAGCACACCTGCACATATATTGCCACCATCACTTTCAAAACATTTTATTTCTACTTGAGCCCCTGGTATAAGCTTGTTTTCCCCCTCCCTCCCCGACCTTTCCACCCTCGAGCATCCTTGATCAATTATATATTGTTATTATTTTGTATTGTGCACTATCCATTGTCTCCCTTTCCCCCCCATTTCTGTTATTCATTCCCTTTGGGGTGGGTATGGGTGTGGCTGTATATACATCTTTTACACATGAGAATTTTTCTTTGTTCTGGGTTATATCCTTAGGATAGATTTTAGATGTGGAATTGCAGGATCAAACGAAATTAATATGTATGCCAAAATGCAAAGCTAAATATATCCTAACTTGAGTTGGATGAAGAAAAGAAAAACTTACATTTTGAAGCATAAATGTAGTCTCTGCTTGTTTGATACCAAATATCTTTGACAAAGAGAACAGATTTTTTAGACTTGGCATTTTGTGACTTTGAAAGCCTTAAGAAATGAAGTGTTTCTTAGTGATGAGAAAGGATTTTTAAAAACTCTATTTTATAAATGGAGTTTTAACAACTCATTTTTGACATCCGGTGGTTTGCATTATGAGTGCCATACATCATCCAGCTGCAGGAACTGTAGTTAGGAACTAGCACTGAGAGCATTCTGCTGGCCTGCTACTCCTGGGATTTGTTACTCACTCATTCACTACTGCTAAGCAATGCAGTTTCTGGAATCTGATCTCACTCACTCACTGCTATCATGTGAAGTCCAACTCTTGGAGACCCTGTGAGACAGGGTAAAACAGCCCCTGTGGACTTCTGAGACTTTAGGAGTGGAAACACTCATCTTTTTCCTGCGGAGTGGCTGATGATTTTGAATTGCTGACCCTGAGGTTAGCAGCCCAGTGTGTAATCTACACCACTGGAATTTGGTAGTGGCTCTCTAATTACTTGCTTTGTGTACATTTAGCGCTATCTTGTCTTCTGCTCTTTTAATTAATGTGATAGTCTGCTTTCATGCAACAAGTATAACTCAAGTTTTTGTTTATGTAGGCAGTTAATTCTCGATGGCCAGTGGGATGAAGTTCTTCAGTTCATTCAGCCTCTGGAGTGTATGGAAAAATTTGACAAGAAAAGGTAAGATTTCATCTGAAGTTTTTAGGGTCTTTATGATTGGTATAAATTTAGTGAAGCAAAACACTAACCAAAAATTTTAAATCAAGACAGCGTTTTTTATGTATGCATATTCAATTCCATTGAGTTGGCGCACTTGCAGAGGACAGTTAAGAAAGAATCTTATATGCAAACCGTCTTAGTAAACAGAGCTGATTTCAAAATGTCACTAGGGCCATATCTGAAACAGCTTTCTTCTTATTGACACCAAAGCTTCAAAGATGCCATTCCATTGTCTTCTGACCTCCTTTGTTTCTGATGCTAGGCCTGTTCTCATTTACATCCTTTTACTATATCTAGCAACCAAACCCATTGCCATTAAGTCAACTCTGACTCATAGTCACCCTATTTTGGACAGATTAGAACTATCCTTGGGTTTCTGAAACTACCTCCTTGCGGGAGCAGATAGCCTCATTTTCTTCCATGGAGTGGCCAATAGGCTTGAGCTACTGACCTGGAGTTAGCAGCCCAGTGTTACCAAGGTTGCTTATTATGAGTATATATTTGGCCCACTAGTTTTCCTAAGGAATAGTGACTCAGTGGATAATGCATATCAAAAGATTGGTGGTTCAAATTTACCAGCTGCTATGCAGAAAAAGTTGTTGTAGGCTGCTCTCAAGCAACAAGCTGTGGTGTTTTTATCACTTTCTCTGGGACTCCCAAACCTTTTGCTGACTCCTCAAGCTTATAAAATGACAACTTTCTACCCTTGTCTCAAGGGTGTTTTAAATTCTATACCATTGGCTAAATTAATGACACTATCAATAGAATTACTTTATGCCTGAGGGTGATGATTGATAATGATCTCTAACATAAAATGATAATGATTTCTCCAAGGTGAACTAGAGACAAATACGAACCATTTAAGCTATACAAATGGGTTTGGGCTTGCACTTAATTCTAGTCCCAACCTAAGAACAATCAGTTCTTATGACATGACCCTGCTTGACTCACCGTCATGAAGAGATCACTGAAGATATGGGTGCTGTAGCAAAGTGTAGTGAAGAAACTAGATGGTGCCTGGCTATCAGAAATAATAGCATCTGGGGTCTTAAAGACATGTGTTGAAACAAGTTGCTATCCAAGTGAGGCATCAACTAAGTCTACATGAAAGAAGCATATCAGACTGTGTGATCCAAGGATTGTAATAATAAAATCCAAATCTGAAGAGGGAATGGGATCAGATCTTAAATTGTGAACACCTGGTTTGTAGAAGGCTGTGGTTGACAGTGGAAACCCAAAGTCCATTTGCAGGGTCCACACATAGATTAAGCTTCTGGTGAATCCCCACTGATCATAATTGAGGGATGTGAATAGCCTTGGTATCTCCTTTTTGACTCATTTTAAATTTGTTTCAGTTTTAATATTTTCTCCTTTCTTTGTGATTGAGGTTTTTCTGTTTTACTTTGCTATTGTTAGTCTGTTTAAAAAAATGTTTTTCTGTAAATGGAATCCAGCTTAGGTAAATCTATAGAGACGGTAACTGAATTAATTATAACAGTTGTAATTGGAGGAGGTTGGGGGAAATTGAGAGCTAATAACAATAAGGGCAAGGAGGAAGAAAATGTTATAAAATTGATCTTTAAATGATTGGACCACTGAATTGTATAATTTATGAATTACATGCCAGTAATATTACTAAATAAAAAATAAAGTAAAAAAGTTTTAAAATAGACAACTTTTCTGATTTGAGTTTTAGTTCCCAATATGTGGATGGTAGCATGCTCTGAGGTCAGAAACCATATGCCTTTGAATATCATGCCCGGAACATCTGATTTTTCAAGTATTGACTCTCCTTAGTTTTTTCTAGCTTTTGGTCGCTCACCAGTGCTTTTAAGTAGTGGTTGTTTTATTTTTTATCCTTGGTTTATCATTGTTATCTGAAGGAAAATCAGCCAGATAACAAGTTTCTCCACTGTTACCATTACCATTATAACTTCTTATTTTCTTTTGGTTCTGTATTTATACTAGGCTATTTGAATATCGCTTTCCTTTTGTGCATTTTGTTTATCTGGAAGTAGTCCTTCTGTTCACCATCATTTATTTAGAGCTTTTTGTTGGCACACTTCTAATCATTTTCAAACAACAATTCTTCTTCTTTTTTTTTTTTTACAACAATTCATCTCAATCCTTCTGATCAAATTAGTTTTGAACTCCTTTGAGGCCTTGCTGAATCCAACACACATTTCCCCCCCTAATTTACTAGATAACCTTCCTGAAGCCAGGAACTTAATTTTATTGAGTACATATTTTCTACTACAAAAACGGTTGAAAGAATGACTAAAGGTTCATTGTCCCCCTTTCAATCCTTAGAATCATTATTTCTTTAAAGTGCTTAATGCATTAAAAGTGTTTTAGTTCTTAGGTCATGGAAGCTGTTTGCTTTTTTCCATCCCATTCTGAGAAATTCCTGTTAAGAAGTTTTTTGTTTTCTTTTAAAGCAGTTTTATTAGCACTTCATCCAAATGTCATACAATTCAATAATTCAATCATATCATCATATCAAGAACAGTTGTACAATTATCACCACCATCAATTCTAGAACATCCTTTTACTCCTTGTACTCATATTCATGTAATTATTTTTTCCTAATTGTGGCAGAAATATACACAAAAAACATTTTCTAATCCTGTGACGTCTACAAGTATAATCCGTGCCATTGGTTGTATACTCTTCAAGGTGTGCAACCATCGAGATGGTTTCCCAATGATGCCACCACTATTAACATAAGCTGAGTGCCCCAAACAACGGGGAAGCTTTGAGTTCATTGCTGTTTTGTTCCTCGTTAGGGCTGCTGTCCATCTCTTTCTTCCCCTCCAACCTTGTCTTTAGTAGATCTGTGTTACTAACAACAAGCAAACAAAAATGATGTATTTGGGGATAAAAATAATTTTAAATGTAATAGACATTGATTTCTTTTTAGGTGACCTTTTGCACCTTCCCTAAAAATTGCCTTTTTAAGTAGAATACTGAAACTCGAAATCCTTCCTTTGTGTGTTCAATTGTCACAATTTGCTACTGGAACGATATCTTCAATGTAATAGGCTACTGAACTATATCTTCAATGTAATAAGCTAGTAAACATTTTTAGTAATTTTTAAAAGAATGCTTTGTAAATATATTTATTAGACATTGCAAAAATACTAGCATTAAAAATGTCTTTTAAAAAAATAATTATTTAGTCCATTAAACTTCATCTCTTTTGCCTCAAAACGTGTTTGATTTCCACTCGTTGAGATTGTGGCCATTCAGCTTTTTAATATTTTGTCCTTTTATTTTTTACAGGTTTCGTTATATTATCCTAAAGCAGAAGTTTCTAGAAGCGTTATGTGTTAACAATGCAATGTCAGCAGAAGATGAGCCCCAGCATGTAAGATTTTTATTCCTGAAGGTTTGCGCCATAGTCTTGTTTTCAGCCATAAATATTTTCTTCACTAAAACTAAGGATGAGTATCATAAATTTTAAAAGTTTTCATCAGCGAGTATGGGCCAAGGTTGGCTATGTTGCAAATGTAGAGCTTTCAGTGTGTATAATTTCCAAACTTGTTCAGTGGGATCCCTGAACGGCTGGCTGGTTGCATAGTATGTGCTCCGCTCTTTGGTTTATATAGCAATAGATGTCTCACTGGATGACTCTTCATTAATGCCTCTGACCTCAGAATTGAGTTTCTTTGTCTTTACAATATTGTCTTTGATCCGAGAGTTTTTTAAATTGTTTTTCTTTATTACAGTATAAGTGTTGTTGTGAGGTACCATCAGATATGTTGTTATTCTAAGAGACTATGCACAACAGAAAGAAAAACACTGCCTTATTTTGCACCGCGTTTACATTTTATGTTTTGCTGTGTTTGCGGCCATTGCTACAGCGAGTGTGTCAGTCTCTCGTTGAGATTCTTTCCCCCTTTTGCTGACCCTCCTAAAGTATGTCCAGAGTACAGGAGGTGACGTCTCCTCATCATCACCTACGAGGAGCATTCTGACTGTGCTTCTGTTGAGATCGGTGTGTTCATTCTTCTGACGGCTAATTTAGCCTTCCTCGTCAACACCATAATTCAGAGGCATTGGTTCTTCCGCCTTCCTCCTTATTGTCCAGCTGTCATATGCATATGAGCCAATTTAAAATACCTAGTCTTGGGTCAGACTCACCTTAGTTCTCTAAGTGAAATCTGCTTTTTAACATTTTAAAGAATTCTCTGGCAGCAGTTTGCTCAATGCAATCTATTCTTTGATTTCTTGACTGATGCTTTCATAACCATTGATTGTGGATCCAAGTAAAATGAAATCCTTGATTACGTTAGTCTTTTCTGTTTTTCGTGCTAGTGCTTATGTTTCAGTTGTGAAGTTTGTTTTCTTTATATAGAGGTGTAATTCCCACTGAAAGCTGCAGTCTTTGAGAGTCACCAGAAACTAGTTAAAGTTGTCTTGACTTTCTGCAGACAAGGTTGTGCCACCTGCATGTTGAGTGTTGTTAATGAGTCTTGCTCTAGTCTTGATGCTATAGTCCAGCTTCTGGACTAGATAAAGAAGAAACACACTTTCCCAGATTTTAAACTTGAAATATACCTTGTCTGTACAAACAACTGCCTCTCAGTCTATGCACAGGTTTCATGTGAGTACAATTAAATGTTTTGGAATTCTCGTTCTTTGCGATGTTACCCAAGATTTGTTTTCATCCATACTGTCAAATGCCTTTGCATAAAACATAAATAAAAATCTCTTTGGAATTCTCTGCTTTCAGCAAAGATCCAGGTGATATCAACAATCTCCCATTCCATGTCTTCTTATTTGTGTGTAATATCAATGACTTTGTTTGGTAATTTCTGCTTCCTGTTGGCTCACCTCTCTTTGGAACGAGCACAAACAACGGTCTCTTCCAGTCAGTTGGCTAGGTAACTGACGTCTAAATTTCTTGGCACAGAAATGTGAATTCTTCGTTTGTTGAAGCATCTCATTTGGCATCTCCATCAATTCTGGGAACATTGTTTCATTGCTGATGTCTTCATTGCAGCCTGCATGTCTTACCTCAATCTGCGACATTGACTAACTTTTCACAACGTGTTAACCTTTTTTGTGTTTTAGTTTACTCCCTCCCCAGTACTCTAGTGTCTTGCTCGCTCTTCTTTGCTTTTGAGTAGTTTTTGACCTTTTGGCTTCATAGTGATGGTTTTTAAGTAGTGTACCAGTCTTAGGGATAACACCCTATTCTTACTGACCTTTTGCTGTTTCATTAAAAGGTGATCTTGATAGGTTTGTTTTTGTTTGAATAGTGTCTCATCAGAGTGCATTGGAAAGCAGATTAATGCAGATGTAGCTAGATTAAAAGTCAGCACCTTATTGTTCTCCTTTTGACTCATTTGAAATTTTTTCTACTTTATTATTTTCAGCTTTCATTTTGATTGAGGTTTTTCTCTATTGTATTTTGTGTGCATGTTTTTCTTCATATGAACTCTAGTTTAGGTAAATCTATAGAGACAGTAACTGGATCAGTAGGTTCTAAAGATTATGGCAGGAAGGTTGGAGGGAGATGATGAGCAAATAATAATGAATACAAGGATGAAGAAAATATTCTAAAATTGATTGTGGTGGGGATTCGACAATTCTTTTTAATGTTTAACCATTGCATTATATGACATGGAAATTATATGTCAATAAAGCTGCTTAAAAAAAAAAAATGATGTCTCAGCACCAAGCAGTGTTTTGTTCTGTTGTACTTGGGGTCACTGAGCTAGAATGTTAGCCAATTCTCTCTTTGGCATAGTGACTCTGTGGATGGGGGGTCTTCAAAACGTTCATGGAAAAATGGAGTTAAAATACATAAATAAAAATAGAATATTTTTCTTTCGAGAAATTAGTTTATTTTATATTGGTTATAAATCTAAGTCTTCTCCGAGTAACTGTGCTGTGTTGCTGACCCTGACCCATGGTGACCCATGTGTGCAGAGTAGGGTCTTTGAGGATGTGGATTTGTATTTTTAACTTTTTATTATAGGGATTCATGTGAAGATTTGCAGAGCAGATGAGTTTTCCATGTAATAACTCAGACACATTTTGTTTCGTAGCATTGCCTACAATCCCCACAGTGTACCACCACTTATCCTACTTCCTCCTACGCTTCCTGTTTCCCTCCCTCCTCCTCTCCTAACCGTTCAGAACTATGCCCATTTACTTGGGTAGGTGCTGCCTTTTTAACTTTTATTTTTATTCTAAGGTGTATGTACTTCCCTTGCGTTATTGTTCCCTTATAGACCTGTCCATTGTTTAGCTGAATATTGAGCTATGGGGTTGAACTCCTTTTTAGACCTAAAGGAATGACTGAGCACCCTAGCTAGTTTCATGGGTTCTACCAATTTCTGTTTGACCAGTAAGCCTGGTCTATTTTGGTTGTCGATGGTTTTGTGTTTTATTCCACATTTTCTTCCCACTCTATCCAGGACCTTCTAATGTGATCTTTGTCAGAGCAGTTAGTAAGGGTAGCCAGGCGCCATCTACTTCTCTGGCCTGCATGTCGTGGAGACTTAGGTCCGAGTGTTCCTTTCAGTCCACTGGACTAATTGTTTCCATTCGCCTTCTATCTTCTTAACTCCTTTCTCCAGACAGGGAGACACCAATAGTTGTACCTTATATGGCTGCTCATGAGCTTGTAAAACCTCAGTAGCTGCTCACCAAAGTGGGATGTAGAGCATTGTTTTTGTGGACTATGTAATACCAATTAACCTTGGCGTTTCCTGACACCATGGTCTTGAACCCACAGACCCAGCATTTTCTCACCTGAAGGTGTTTGGTTATATCTAAGAAGTTTTGTTGATAACTTTGCCTCCTCTTTATTCCATCATGTTCATGGATATATTTGTAGTAAAGATAAATACACATGTGTGAATATCCACTGTCAAGCCTATATTTGCCCTTTCATAATTGACTTACTTTACTTATGATGCCCTTCGTGTTTATCCATCTTTTTTTTTCTTTTTTCCTTTTTTTTCTGTTTATTTTTTTTTGTTTATCCATCTTATGAAGTGTTTTGCACATTCCTTGTTACTCTGTAACATGTGCAGTGTTCCATTGTGTGTAGGTACCACCGTTTGCTTATTCTTCCTTTTATGGGTTTTCTATCTTTCTTTTTTGTGAACAGTGCTGCTGTAAACCTGGGTGTGCATGTATCTGTTCATCTCAAGGCTTTGTTTCCTTAGGGTATGGACCAAGTAGAGGGATTACTAAGTCACGTGGTATTTCCGTTCCCAACTTTTTTTAATGACCCTGTTTTTCTATTTTAAAAAAAGTTGCATATGTAACCACACATACGGAAGCATTATCATACAAAGTATTAACAGGGTTGCCTTTAGGCAGTAGATTTACAAACCAAAACCAACCCCCTGCCTTGGTGTTCCTTCCAACACACAGCAGCCCCGAGGGCAGAAGAGGCCACTTCACTTCATCAGGGTTCTGGAGCTGGACTTCCTTGTTTGTTATTACTAAACCATTTTACTGGGGGCTCCTACAGCTCTCATCACAATCCATGCATACATCCATGGTGTCAAGCACATTTGTACATAAGTTGCCATCATTTTCAAGACATTTTCTTTCTACTTGAGCCCTTGGTATCAGCTCATTTCCCCCAACCTGCCCCAATTTTTTACAGAAGTGCCATACCTTTATCTAAAGTGGTTGTACCATCTCTTCACATGCTCACCAGCATTTGTTGTTTTTCTGGTGTTTTTTTTTTTTAGCTTTCTTTTAATGCTGTGGTGAGATGATAGCCCATGTTTTGATTTGCATCTCTGTAATGGCTAATGATCACAGGCTTTTCTTCATGTGGTTATTAGCTGCCTGAATGTGTTCTTTGGTGAAATATGGTTCATTCTTCTGCCTATTTCAAGACTGGGTTGTATATCTTTTTCTTATTGAAATGTTAATTTAAAAATTTTTTAGAGATTAATCTGCTATACAATGTGTCTGTCACTGGCAAAACATTTCTTACTGATGTCTTTTCCTTCTTAATGCCTCAAAAATTAGTATGTTTATTTTGAAGCACAAAAAATAAAATTCATGCCTTGTTTTTTCAGTATGCACAAACTTTTTAAAGATCTGTCCTATTCCTTCGTCTTTCAATACTTTGCCCATAGAATCCTTCAGTGTTGCAACTCATGACTTGAATTTTAAAATTTCAGCCTCAGAAATGCTGCGTGTGCTCTTCCCTTTTAGTTTTCTACCTCCAGCTCTTCATACATTTTACTGTGATGTTTTATTTTGTCTTCTTGAACTGCCCTTTGGAATGCTCTCGCCAGGCCTTTCACTTGGCTCTCTTTGGCTGCTCCACGATCAAGAAGACTGTTTCAGTCTCCTCTGACATCCACTTTGCTCTCTGTTCCTTTTCTCTGCCTCTTTAATGACCTTCTATTCTTGATGTCAATTCACAGTTTATCTGGTCTTTGGTCATTAGTGTTCAATGCATCTGTTCTTGATATAGTTTCTAAATTCAGGTGGGATATACTCAGTGTCCTACTTTGGCTCTCGGGGACTTAACTGTAGTAAAAATTTGGAGGGGAGGGGGCCATCCCCCACCGCTAGTCCTGGGTTCAATAAATGCACAATTTTACGGTTGAGTTATATATGTATTTTATATTAAATTCATCGAGAGCATGAGCGATAGAAGAGATATTACATTAATGCAGTCAGATACATTACATGGTAGCATTGCTCACCTCAGTCCAGCTTGGTGGTCCATGTGGAGAGGGGGATGGGAGAGAGGACGGGAGAGGAGAGGGGGAAGAGGGGAGCAACCAGTGAGAGCCCAACGAGAGAGGCCAGAGAGAGCTCTCTATTGCTAACCCACCCCTATATACCTTTGAGGGGGGTGCCAGCCCACTAATTACAGGTAAAGACATACGTCACAGGAAGGGGTTGCACTATAGGTTACACAGTAATGAGGAGGGGTGGTCTAGGGACATACACGCAATAGGAAGAGGGATTGGGGTATACCTGTGACAAGATGGGCGGATCCTAGATTTAGTATGGCAGCTTAACTTTGGATGTCACAGGGCCAGTTTGACATGTTCCTGGCTCAACTGATAGAGAACATTATCAGTAGGATGTGAACTCCTCCTGTCCATTGTCCCCAGCAGCAGGGAGCAGGCCCACTGCAGTCTGGCGACTGATCTCAGGGAGGATGCCCTTTAGCATCTACCTCCCCCCAACACTTAATTTTTTTTTCTTCTGCTTGAAGTTACATAAGGGCAGTTGATTGTCAGTTTGTAGTCAGCTCCTGGCCTTGTTCTGACTGAAGCACTGAGGTTTTCCGTAGTCTCTTTCCACAGATAGATTCCTTTTTGTCCCCTATGTAATATATCCTGTGGGTGCCATGCATGTAGTTGCCACCTACGTTGCTGAAAAAAGGTTTTTCCAGTGAAGACGCTGTTAGTCCTGCAAAATCCTATAATGTAATTTCAGGCACCAGGGCAACTAATGATCCTTATTTGTTTCCACCTCTTGCCTTCCAATCACTAGTAATGATCAATAATACACCCACAAGCTGCTGTTACTTGACAACGTAGTATTTGAACTTAAATTTGAGCAGATTTCTGCCCATTATATGTTACTAATATGCCCAAACACCCTGCTGTGAGGACAACTTTGTAGCACCTTGAAGTAAAAGAGCTTAGGTATGATTAAAGGATTGAAGTTTGTACCTAGTTTAGTTTTTTGTTAATTCTAGACTTCGCAGCCCTATCATAAATTGACATAAATTATAGCAAACTCCAAGTAGGCTGATCATTGACTTGCCAAAAGAAATTGTAAAATACTATGGAAAATTCTGACATCATGAAACATTAATTCAGTCAGGAAATCACAGCTTCAGAGATGCTGTGAAGCCATGGAGATTCAGAGACACAAATCGATCTGTTGAGCATCTTTTCATGTGCTTGTTGGCTTCTTTGTTGAACAGTCTGTTCAAGCCTTTGCCTGTTGTTCAGATTGAGATGTCTTCTTGTTGTTACATTGTAGAAGTTTATGTGTATCTATATCTGTCAACATGAAAACCACAGATATGAATATTACCATATGAAGATTAATATCTTACATACGTTTACATATATATCTCAACTTGATGTATATATTTATTTGATATAGAGTCTTATCTAAAAATGCTCTCCCAATCTGTAAGTTGCCTTTGTTTTACAAAAATATTTACTTTTTTTGAGGACCTATTTATTTTGCCCTTTGCTGCTGAGCTTTTGTCATGGGAACTTAATTATTTGCATCCTAAAAACACGTTTCATTTGAAAATGATACAGTTTTAACTCTGAACCAGAACACTATTTGTACATATGTAAATTTAATGTGTAAATTAACCAATGCTATATCCTTTTAATTTTACTAGTGGAAATGTGTTGGGTCTTGATTTGAAAGTTGTTACATGTCCTACAAATCATATGGATTTTCTTTGGCGCCAGCGAGTATCAGTTCACAATTGAGTTCAAAATAAAAGTTGGTGAAGTACCACTGTGTTTGAATAAAGCTGTCTTTTATCGTTTGTTATCCCTCAACATTTCTCTTCGTAGTGATCCTGTGTTGTTTTTACAGCTGGAATTCACCATGCAAGAAGCTGTGCAGTGCTTGCACGCCCTTGAAGAGTACTGCCCTTCTAAAGATGACTACAGCAAGCTCTGCCTGCTCTTGACGCTGCCTCGCCTCACCAACCACGCCGAGTTCAAGGACTGGAACCCCAGCACCGCGCGGGTTCACTGTTTTGAAGAGGCCTGTGTCATGGTGGCAGAATTTATTCCAGCTGATAGGAAGCTGAGTGAAGCTGGCTTTAAAGCAAGTAATAATCGTCTATTTCAGCTTGTAATGAAGGGTCTGCTTTACGAATGTTGTGTGGAATTTTGTCAAAGTAAAGCAACTGGAGAAGAAATTACAGAAAGTGAAGTGCTTCTTGGCATTGACCTCTTATGTGGTAATGGCTGTGATGACTTGGATCTCAGTTTGTTGTCATGGCTTCAGAACCTTCCATCTTCTGTGTTCTCCTGTGCGTTCGAACAGAAAATGCTTAACATTCATGTCGATAGACTTCTGAAGCCTGCCAAAGCTGCATACGCTGATCTTTTGACTCCTCTTATCAGCAAACTCTCTCCCTATCCGTCATCCCCAATGAGAAGACCTCAGTCAGCTGATGCCTATATGACCCGCTCGCTGAACCCTGCTTTAGATGGGCTCACCTGTGGACTGACCAATGACAAGAGAATCTCGGACCTTGGCAACAAAACTTCTCCAATGTCACACTCCTTTGCTAACTTCCACTACCCCGGGGTACAGAACCTTAGTAGAAGTCTCATGCTTGAGAATACAGAATGCCATAGTATTTATGAAGAATCCCCTGAGCAGTGAGTATATGCTTATGAAAATGAGGATGCTCCACATCTGTGAGATAATCCTGTGCTCGTGCACGTGTGTGTGTGTGTGTGTGTGTGTGTGTGTCGGGGAGGGGGTGTTGTGTGTTAAAGCTCAAGCACATTTAGTTGAAAGTTCTTAAATGTTAAAACATATTTCTAAGTCACTTAGGAAAAGAGCTTTAAAATTGTAATTGTTAAATCCTGTGAATTTGAATCCACTTGATGGCAGTGAGCCCTGCTGGCTCAAAGATTAAAGTGCCCAGGCACCAGTAAGACAGTCAGCTTTTGAAATGCACAGAGTCCACGTGCGAGGAAGAGATGGCATCCTGCTCCCGTGAAGCTCCCAGCCCGGGAAACCTTATGGGGCAGGTCTACTCTGTCCTGTGGGGTCACTAGGACTCAAAGGTGGTGGACATAGTTTAGGATATTATTCTTTAGCTGGTTTAAAGGTGGTATAGATACATTGAAGAAAACTTATTAAAAAACTAGGAGATTATAGGATAAAATTAAAGTCTTACATAATCTTGCAGTTAGATGACCATGTTTTTTCATAAGTTTTAAGAATTTGGAATAATACTTTATATATTTTCACATAATCTGCTTTTTCCATTTGGTAGATCGTAGATGTTTCCCTATATTAAAATATTGTGACATTTTTGAGATCAGTGATGACTATTCAGTGTGCAATATTCTGCTGCTTGTGTAGAGTACCCTAATTTTAATCAATTATTGTAGGAAACCAGGTTATTTACAGTTTTTTTTGCCTTGTACATAGAAGTGTAATGAAAAATCCTGTGCATAAAAATTCTGATACTTTCTGCATATCTTTTTATAAAAAAATCATTTTATTGGGGGCTTTCATAGCTCTTAGCACAATACATACATTCATCCATTTGTTGCCATCATCATTCTCAAAACATTTTCTTTCTACTTGAACCCTTGGTATAAGTTCCTCCTCCCCCACCCACCCTCCCTCATGAACCCTTGATAATTCATATATATATATATTTTTTTTTTAATGTCTTACATCGACCATTGTCTCTCTTCACCCACTTTTCTCTTGTCCATCCCCTTGGGAGCGGTTATAGGTCTATCATTGTAATCGGTTCACCCTTTTCTCCCCCACCTTCCTCTTCCTCACCTGGTACCAATACTCTCATTATTGGCCCTGAGGGGTTTATCTGTCCTGGATTCCCTGTGTTTCCAGCTCTTATCTCTACCTATGTACATGCTCTGATCTGGCCGGGTTCGCAAGGTAGAATTGAGGTCATGATAGTGGAGGGGAGGAAGCATTAAAGAGCTAGAGGAAAGTTGTTTCATCGTTGCTGTACTGCACCCCGGCTGGCTGGCCTCTTCCTTGTCACCCTTCTGTAAGGGGATGTCCATTTATCTGCAGATGGGCTTTGGGTCTCCACTCCATGCTCCCCCTCATTCACACTGATAAGCTTTTTTTGTTCTGGGTCTTTGACTGCACATCTTTCTTTAGTAGTCCTTGATATACATGAAGGAAATGAATGTTATAGCTCCCATTCAACTTTTCATTCAAAGCTGGCATGAAAGCATGACCTCCTGATTAGCAGTTCTGCAAACCTTTCTGTCTTTTACTCATCAGGATGTGACTGCTTTCCTGTTACTCAGAGTTGGCAACTGTATGAAGTATTAGTATTGCCTTTAATAAACTTATTTCAGTACAAAAGCCGAACCTTTTCACAGTCATATAGCAAGCATAGTTAGGTCTATCTTGTGCTAAAGAAGAGGTTCTGGATTTAAAATTTCTGTTTATAATTAATGGAAGGGGGATCTTTAACATACAAGAGCTACAGGATGAATATATGGGGAAGCAATTTCTGTGAAGATTATAGGGAATTTGTGACATGTTCTTTAATGAGAGTGGAGGATGCTAGGGTCTGTCAAGTGAGGAACTTACTGAAAGGTAAGGCGTAAGGAGACTTCTTGAGGTACTTCATTACTCCAAATTTACTATTTGAAATCTAGAGATAACCAGTGATGAAAATGGATTGATATTTCCTATAGGAGCATGTTATATCTCAGTGGAATAGGGAGTTTTTAGCTTTGATTGAACGTTCCAATCCTTTTGGAAAAAATCTCCATTGTCTAAGATGCTGGATTTCATTCTGGGGGAAACTGTTGACTTGTGCATCGTTAGGAAAGTCTTTTTTTTTTGGAAAGTCTTTACAAAGAAAAAGATGCGCTAGGTGTCACCAAATCTGACTGTACGTGTGCTGTCGCCTATTAGAGAGAGTAGACGTCGAGAAATAGATGCATAAGGATGACTTCTTGTCCATCTGTTTTTTTATCCATTTAAGAAGTGGGATACGGTAGACCATTAAAAATAAGCAGATAGGTAAAACATGACGTGAAAAAACAAATAGCACATGTATTATCAGCTGAGCAGTAGCAGCACTCCAGGAAACATGAAAATGGGCAATTTATGATGCAAGACAGTGTGGATTAATGAAAAGAATGTTGTCTTTGTTAAACTTGAACTTGATCACTGGTATTGCCATTTACCAGTTATGTGAGCTTGGGAAAAGTCACTTGCTCTCTCTGAGGCTCAGTTGTCTCCTCTGTAAAAAACCAATAGTTTAACTCACTTGCAAAATGAGTTGAAGCTCCGAACAGAGGCAGGCCTGTAACTGGTGCTTAGTACATGAAAATCTCTCCCTTTTGGAGTTCAAGCCCTTGGTGAATTAAGTACAGTGTGTCAAAGGGGCTGCCAATAAGGAGTCCTCTGGCAAAGCAGTGGCTTAGGTGTTGAGCTGCTGATCACAAACTCAGCAGTTCAAATGGTGGGAGAAAGCTGCTCTGTGGCAGAAAGGTGAGGCTGTCTGCTTCCATGGCGATTTACAGTCTCAAGCCCTATCTATGTTGGGTCACTAGGATTCAGAATAATTTTGGGCATATGGCAGAGTTACTGTGCTGTGAATAATAAACACTAGTTAGTTTGGAAAAACGTTACCTGGTTTTAAAAACACTTTAGGTATAATTTAGGAGCCCTGTTATGGTGTAGTGGTTACTCACTGGGCTGCGAGCTACAGGGTCGACAGTTCAAAACCACCAGCAGCTCACTCCATGAAAGACTGAGCTTTTTACTCCCATAAACAGCCACAGTCTTGGAAACCCACAGTGGGTCTATATGAGTCAGCACTGACTCGGTGTCAGTGAGTTTGGTTTTGGGGATGTATAATTAAAAAATACTGAGAGGTTCACTTAGATTAATTACGTTAAGGATGCCATGCATAGGCTCCTATTTATGATAATACAAGTTTGAAATCAGTCTTCATTTAAAATATATTGGAATGTTTAGTGTGTGCTAACACAATGCCACATTGCACATTGCTGCATCCTTGGACAGGATTGAATTACTCTGGTGTATAAGAAGATAAAATAGGAAAGATTTATAAGAGGATATGTAGTGTTTTGTAAGTATATTTTTCATTTGCACAGAAATAGACACAAAGCAAAAGAAAGATGAATCAGTTGAACTTGTAAGCTTTGGCTATTCAACATAGTGGTTTCAAAATTATACATAGGCTTGGACTGGCCCTCGAGTTGGAGTCTGAAAATCTAGGTTCTAGGTCCGGCTCTATTTAATGCAATTGTAGGAAAGTCACTTAAGTCTGCTTCCTCGTCTGGGAAATGGGAGTGATAACTGAGTCCGCAGGTGACTTCATCATCCACTGTTGCCACATCAGAAATACCAGAAACAGATGACTTTAACAGACAGACATTTATTCTAGTGGAAGATTGCTGACTTTGGGGGAATGTCCTTCTTTCCTTTCTACATCGGTGAGCACGGTGTTCCTTGGATGGCTGTGTATGGCTTGGCATCAATCTTTCCTTGTGTCTAGGAGGTTCTGAGCACAGGGACCCCAGGTCCAAAGAATGCACTCCACTCCCAGCTTTTCTCTTGTGGTGATATGGTAAGGTCCCTAGATCTCTGCTCCTTTGTTTAACCTATTTTATATCTCAAAAGACATTGACTCAAGGTAGGACATAATCCTGTCAATTGTCTCTTATCTCATTAACACAATGCATCTAATCTTACCTCATTATCCATCATATAGGTTAGGATTTACAATAAATACCGTATATACTCGTGTATAAGTCAAGTTTTCCAGCACACTTTTTATTCTGTTTCTGTGGCAAAATTAGGTACCTGGGCTGATATTCGGGTTGGCTTATACTCGAGTGTATGTGGTAGTATAATTTTATATGATGACAAAATGAAGAATAATTACATCAGACCAGAAAATGGAGGAAAATGAGAATTATTGTCTAGCCAAGTTGAAACATGTTTTTGGGTAACACAGTTCAATACATGACAGCAGGTTCTTTATTGTACAAGTGAAGTGAGATGCTAGGCATTGTATATATTATAAAATTAAATAAAATATTACTTTTTTTGAGGTAATTTTTCTATCCATGTAATTATTAACTCTTAAAAATTCCTTTTTGATGGTCTTAAGAGAGGGACTTCTTAAAGCATAGTGTGATAGTGAAAGCTCTTCTCAGGTCGGTCTGCCTTTTCTTTTGAGTGTGTGTGTGTGTGTGTGCATATGTGTGTAGGCACTTAGAGATTGCATATTACTTGTAATGTCTCTTCCAATCGGTATTCCCAGCCATCTCACTCATTCAGTAAATATTTGAGTGCTTGTGTTTAACCACCTGA